TTGAAATGCTTGGCTAGAATTTTATTTTCACCAAATAATTTCGAAAAGTAACCCTGTTGAAGAAATGGCGTGGAGGAATACCTTATACTTTGTAGTTCTAGTGTATGAATACCTAGTTTGCAGCTATAGGGTATAAACATGTGTTGGTAGGTGGAATGTTGTCATTTTAAGCTCTTCATTTACTTTTCAGTAAATAAGGTAAGTTTAATGGTTTGAATAATTTTTTTTTGTTTGTAATATTGTATCAACGTGTTTTTAAACTTGTACTAAATTTTTTATGCTAATTAATTGATTTAAGGTAGTTTAAGATTTTCACGTGACTTAGGCTTAGTAGCATTACTTATTTTGCGCTTTCGGTTTTAACTTTCTTTTAATAAGAAATGCCTGACAACAAAAAAATAGGGCCTGAAAACGTGAAGTGCAAAGAATGTGGACGAGAATTTACAAGGAGAAATTTATACGCTCACTTGAGGAACTTGCACGACGATAAGCCCATTGATGTGTCCAGCAAGTTAGCGTGCGCTTTGTGCAATCAGATGTTTGTTGCAAAAACATTACCAGAGCGAACATTCTGAAGTAAACCTGTCATTTGAAATTAAATCTTTTGATGATCAAAATTCGTTTGACATTTAGAAGGGGAGTTTTGAAATAGAGACAGTATCTCATTTTATACAGCGATCTATTAAAAAATTGTCTGATTAATCAGTAGTTAAGTATTATGTGTGTCATCGTAGTGGAAAGAGCCGCATTGAAGTCAGCGACGGGGAAAGAAAACGTCACGTTAAAACCATTGGGAGCTAATAAATGTTACGAAGCATTCTGATAGTGGAAATATTTCTGTTGAGCTTCAATCTGTACATGTTGAGCTTTTAGCTATTCAGATGGAGCAGGGAATACCAAAATCTGGGGTTTTAGCCAATGTTAGATCAAACTATACACCCTCTACGCAACTATCATTAATTGACAAAAAAGATTTGCACAATATTTGTACAGAATTTAAGTTAGATAGTGAGGTATGTTTGGATAAAAATGATGCTCTTTCTGTGCATCTTTAAGTTCAAAAAATGCTGAAGGAGCCTGGCAACCATGTTTTGCTGTACAAGCCAGTTGGAGAGGCCTGTGAAATGCCAGGAATTTACGAAAATGATTTTTTGCTTGGTATTATAAGCAATGCTCAACAAAAACTGCTAGAATTAAATGATGGTATCATTATGATAGACTCTACTCATGGTCTTAATCAGTATCAGCTTAAATTCACCACACTGATGGTTAATGATACTAATATACCTGCCAACTTTTAATCCTTTCGAGGATGATTTTCCCCAGTGGTAGTAAAATGAAATTTAAATTGCAATTTTAGACAGAAACATAAGCAATATTTTGAGGAGGATTGATTTGCATTACATATTAATATATGTTTTTAATTTTTTAAAAAACAGTGGTGGTCAAACAGAATATTAATTAAGTTTATAAATGCAAGGAAGCAAACATTTTACTACCACTTTAAATATAGAAATAAAATTTTACGCCAAATGCGTAAAAGTTGGCAGGTATGTACTAATCGTGAAGGTTTTCCAGCTGCTGTATTTTACTCTTCTAGAGAAACAGCTGACGTAGTGAAATATTTTTTTGAAGCAATAAATAAGCGTGTGCCAGATCTTAATCTTCCTACTGTTTTTATGTCAGATGATGCACCAGCCTATTATAATGCATGGGTTAATGTTTCTGGGGAATGTAACTTTCACTTATTTATATAGCTGGCTTGTTAATCGAGAAGTTAAGTTATCAATAACTGTAAACAGCTTTTCAAAAAGAATGTCTTACCGTTGAAAGAGTGCTTGCAATTTGGAATCGAGTGATGTAACTACTTCTGACAATACGCTCTTGACTATGGATATTTTCCACTGTCGTTACGTGCTCAGATTTACATATAGTCGCGTAGGTAGAGGTGTGTTGTATGGCCTTGAACAGGCGTCTAGCTTCTGAGAATGATAGGTGGCTTTTACTTTTAAATTCTAAGAATTTCGCTTCTTCCAACCGAGATGGGCATGTCGGGGAATCCACAGGGTGATTCCCTGCACAGTTGATACAGGTTGGTTCAGTACTGACGCATTCTGAGAAGGCATGTGTGCCACTGCAGTAAGAACAGCTTTGATGTTTGGCGGAGCAGTTTTTTGTTGCATGGTTGAACTTACATTTAGTGCACTGTTTAGGTCGGTCATAGAAAAGGGTTGGCTTTACGAGGTTGTACCAAAATTTTACTTCCGTTGGTATTGAAATGCCGTAGATTGTGATAAGGCATGTCTCAGATAGTGTTGAAGAACCTCTTTTTGTAAATCTGCGAATGCTTTGCACGGTTATGTCGTTATATGATAATTCAACTGCCAGTTCGGTGAGTGAATGATCAAGGGGGATTTCCTTGTAGTAGGAATTTTGAGGTGATGTTTTCTGTTAAGATGCTAGATTAGGTTTGAACTCCCATAATTTTAGTTAGGTTAGAGATTTCGACTGCCGTGTTCTAATTTCTGTTTTAATAAGAAGTTTTCCATTTCTAGTGTGCATACAAGATATTATATTTCTAGGTTCTGTGACAGCTTTAGTTAGATCATCTTTCAGTATGATAGGTTTTTTCGGGAAAGAATTGTGTCCTATTGGGGTAAACTTTATTGCGTATGTAGACACTCCAACGGCAGTAGCATATTCAAGTTGTTCAGTGACCGTATCATTAAATTCCAAATTTGTTTCAGTGGACACTTTAATCTTTCGAGAGTAGTGTAGGTTTGTCTCAATTTCTTCCTCCCTCATGTTGAGGAAAGAAGGGGAAATAATTATACTTAAGAAAACTTGAAATTCGCTTACCTTGTTGTCGCCAACAGTTTCTTCGGCCCGCACCAGGGGGCGGTACACAAAATAAGAAAATAAATTTACTGATATAAATAATCTAAGTTTCAGTATTCCAGTGGGTGAAGTATACCCGAGATGGATGAAAACAGATGATGGCACTAAGAATTTCAAACAAAATGTTTCGCTGACGAAAACGTCCGACACTCATGACTCCGAGAAGTCGAATCCAAAATTTAGTATTGAGCTGGTCCATATCCAAGAGGTCGTGGGTTCGATCCTCGCCGGCCGAAGACTCCCCGTGNCCGGTTGAGTCGGCTGGATTTTCCTCACTTCAGTTCGTTTTGGAGTGAACTGGATGGTTGCCGAGGCGCATACTAGGGAACTGGATGGTTGCCGAGGCACATCACATATCCCATGTTTAGATTACTGAATCTATTCCTAAAAATTCTACTCCTTAAGAAAAAAAAAGAATAGATGATCATTAAATTGTGGATATATTTTGTTCTATTGTAATAATTATAGGTTAAAACTCAATTTGTTTTTGTTATTAAAATTAAAATTACGTTTACTGTTTTATTCAGCTGTGTTTGTTATTTGAGCATTTTGGTTCTAAAATAAATGTATGTACACTTTATGTTAAAATTATATAATAACGAAAATAGCCTAATTATATGAAAGCATAATATAGCATAGTAAATATAAGCATGGATGTTAACAAATTTTGCTGTGTTACTCACATAGCAAAAAATTTAAATATAGATATTTGTGTAGCAATAAACTTTCTTCTTAAATACTATTAATTGATTAGTGAAAGAGCTTTTGTTATAATCATAAATAAATTATAAACAATTAAAAACGTAGTCTAATAATTTAAAAATAAGTATGAAATGTTGTTACATACTTATTTCTTCCTAATGAATTATGAAAAAAAATGCTCTGTATAATCACAGAAAATTGTTAGTATACTTTATATACTTGTTGAGCTTGCTTGTTTTTATACTTTCGTGTAAAATTATTGTTTCATTTTGAAGGGGGAGGTTTTTTTCCTGCCCATAAATATAAATAAAAGTTGCGTTTACTTCAAAATCTAATTTTGCTTTAATGAAATTTTTTTTTTAATTGATAATGAAGCATTTGTGCTACCACTTTTTACTTTCATGCAAAAAAGAAAAATCATTCTTTATAGGACATTTGACTCAAATGCTCAAGGGAGTTTTATTGGCTATAATACTTTTTTAATATTTTCTAATTTTTAAATTTCCAGGAAGAAAGTTACGAAGCCTTGGGCTCGGTGTTGTATTTGTGATGTTGTCTTCCTTATAGGAAATTTTTGGATTTCCAAAAGATCCTGAAAGGTATGTTCATTATTTTTTTTATTATTGTTATATTTATTTTTTGTTTTAAAAAAATTATTGTAGATTTTCTGTTTGATTTCATAAGCGTTCTAGCCTTTGTTAAAGATTTTATTTTGATGTGTTTTGATTATATTTATATTTTGGTAATATAATATGTTTGGTATTAACTGAAGAGCAAAATATTTAACTTTTACATTGTGTTTGGAAATCCGACATTAGAATTCTTATTATTATTTAGTTTCTCAATTTAGATTTTATGCAGAATGTGCTCAATTTCAGGATTTACTCTTGTTTAAGGCTTGGAATAAAAATGAAATGTGTGATGTAAATATATAGTAAATTAGTTTTTTTTCCCCTCAACGTGGCTGGGTGGCGTAGTTGGTTTAGCGTCGGCCTTCTGAGCCCAAGTCTGCGGGTTCGATCCCCGGCTCAGACACCTGATTTTCGGGATGCAGAAAATCCTCAGCGCCCATGTCGTATGATTATGCGGCATGTAAAAGATCCCTGGAGTGCCTTATTGTCTTTTGGCATTTCTGGCAAAATTAAATTCCTAGTGCACTTTAGCATCCAAATAGAGTCTCGGTGCTGCCATCTAGCTTGGCAGAAACTAGACGTCCAATTTAACATGACCTACGGTATCTCACCCATTGTGGTGGTCCTGAAAGAGTGGATACCAACTCTGGAGAACGCACTAGGTCTGCTCATCGGCAAAACCGATTGTGTTGCTCATTGGAAATAAAAAAAAAAAGCAATTTTTTTCTTATTCAGTTTTCAAATGTTTTAATTGTCTCATGTGTCTTTGTGTTATTTAAAATTTTTATTTAAACTTACAGGTCTATGAAATGGTGTGCTATAATCATTAATGATAAATTGAAAAATTTGACAGTACAAATCTTATATGTGCGCTACAAAGTTTGTTCGGCTCATTTTTGATGAGAATGCTTTTGCGTCCAGTCTGAAAAAATATTTGAAGCCTTCGGCTTTACAAGAAAAACCAGGAGTTTCCCCTCTGAATAACAAGCTGGCAACAAAACTGAAGTGGAAGTTAAAAGAAGTTGGCAGCAGTATAGAAGAAATAACATCTCATACTGTTGATGTAATGAGATTACTTTTTTTAACAGATTTCAATTTTTTTGTTAAAATTTTTCCTTAAATTTTTTTTTTCTCTTTAGGTAAACTAATTATATTAAATTTGCAAATTAGATTAAACTTATTTACTCTTATAAATTAACCCTTATTTTGTTTTTGCGTAAATTATGAAATATAACTATGTATTTTTTTATGTTTCAAAATTATTTTTAAGCTTAAGTAGCAAAAATTCACTTTTTGAACTATATTTACTTCAAATAGTTCAAATCTATTAATTGTTCAAATCTATTAATTCTTATTAGTATAGGAAATTACAAATTTGCCTGTTATGATTAATTTAGTCTGCCGAGAGTAATTAAAAACAATTGAATATTTTCTGGTCTAAAAATATCTCTCATCTTGCGTTTAATTTAATGGGGGTGTCCACAGCTTAAATATGGAAAAACATCTCATACTGTTGATTTTTTGCTTTAATTCTTTATTTTTTTATTCATTTTAGGTAAACAATTTATGTTAAATTTGCAAATTAAGTTAAACTTATTAACTCTTATTTTGTTTTCGTGTAATTTCTGTAATATAATTATTCCAAGCTCACATTTTTAATGTCTGTAGATGAATTCGTAGGAAATTTAATATTTTTCTAAATAAATTTTAGCATTATCAATGTTCTATGAATGTACAGTTACAGTATTATCTTTTTATTAGACTATCTAATTTCTTTTTACATTATTTTTAGGATCTTGTTCATCCTCACAGTGAGCCAGCTTCTTCTACCTCTTCAGTGATGTGCCAGACCCCAAAGAGGCCTGTTGATCAGAGAGTGATTACTCCCAAAACAAGAAAAATTAAAAGGCTTTCCAGCAAACTATACTTGAAAAGAAAACTGGAAAACCAACCAAAGTGCTCTTCACTGGATGTAAAAAGTATTTTGAGTGTAATACAGCCTCTAGTAACTCCCAGTATTTATCATTTTATAAAATGCCAATTGCTATCTTGTAATGTGTCTAAATATGGACGAAGGTGGTCTGTGAGTGATAAAAATCTTTGCTTACAGTTGTACCTTGCAAGTCCTAAATCATATCGCCTATTGAGAAAGTTTTTAAACTTGCCTAACAAATCTACATTGTTAAAAGCTGTCTCAGGTATTAAATTGGAACCAGGGTTTTTAACTGCTGTGCTCAACTCTATGATGCTCATAGCCAGTAAGTTAAAACCCCGTGAAAGAATATGTATTGTTTCTTTTGATGAGATGTCTTTGAAACCTGGACTTACCTATGAAAAACACAAGGGTAAATCACAGGTTTTGAAGACTATGGTTCCTATACAGAAAAAACTTCCAAACTTGCAACTCAACTCATGTACTTGGTTTTATGGTACGTGGTCTTTGCAAGAAGTAGAAACAGGTTGTTGGTTATTTTTTTTTAACCCAAACAGCTCCATCAGCCACTCTGAAAATCTTACTTAATGATTCATTAAGTAAGTTATTTCAGTGTGGTTTGATACCCGTTGCTGTTGTGTGTGATCAGGGAGCCAACAACCAAAAGTTTTATTTCAAAGAGTTAGGAGGTTACAGTTGAACGGCCATTTTTTTTAGTAGAGGAGCACGAGATTTTCACCTTTTTTGATGTGCCCCATCTACTAAAAAATTTGTGCAATAACCTTAAAAAATCTAACGTCCGCTTCTGTGGATTTAAGGTTGCCAAGTGAAGTCATATGGCCTCTTTATGGGATTTTAATTCCGAACAGACCCTCAGAGTTACTTTTTTTTTCTTTCCTCCAAGCCCTGAGCATGTACCTAGGTTATGAAAACCCTTAACCATATAGCCCAGGACTTGGCCACTGGTCCAGCTCCACTTCAGCCTAAATAACATAATATTTAAAAAAAAAATTACTGAAAGTGTGGAATTTAAGAAGAAATAAGACAAAAAAAAATATTTTACATGTGAAATGGGAAGTTATTAAAATATTAACAGATAGTCATTATCCGCTAAGGAGTTCATTACTGTTATTAATCTTTTGTTTAAAGTATTCTTTGTAATAAAAGTTTTCTGCCAAATTTCTAAATTTGTTGGGCTAGGTTGACGACTATGCCAGGAGACAGTGTAGGAACAACTAGTGAGATAATGTTCATTAATAATAATAAAACATTGTATAAGTTGAATTGACAACAGTAACATTCAATTATATTGAATGTAAATCATTAGATGTTATGAAATCTAGTATCATCGTCCCTGGCATCACTGTTGTCATATCCCCAGAAGTCATGATGAGCATTAAAATCCCCACAAAGTAGAGTAGGTGAATTATAAAAAATTTTGTTGCTGTAATAGATTAAATCCTTCATTAAATTTATTTCGTTATCACTTGGAGAGTTATAAAAAGAGATTAAAAATAATGGAGAATTATTTGATGAATTTATCGAGATCGAAACTGAATTTTGTAGGATATCTAACTGTAGAGGAGTTATTGTTTTATTTGGTATGAATATACCACTTTTACCATCTGCCGACAGGAAAAGTTTCCAAAAGCTTGGGTATCCTATTATTCTTCCTTTAGAAGAATATGGTTCTTGAAAACAAACTATATCGATCCCGTGCTCAACAACCGTTTTTTGCAATAAAAAGATAGCTGCTTTGCACCTTTGAAGATTAATTTGTAGAATGTTAAGTCCGTCAAAATTTGTTGACATAGTATACTGTTTTATATTATTATTAAATTGGTTAACCATGATTAAATGAAATTAAGTTGAGATGCTTTAAAAATTTAAAAATAAATAAAATGAGGAAAAGTAAGAAATGGAAAGAAAAAAATATGGAATATAAAAAGAAATGAATAAATTAATAGAAAAAAAATGGCGCTGAAAAAAAAAAAACTAATAGAGATAAAAGTATTACTAGATATAGAGAAATGTTAACAAACAAATATATATATATGTCTTTTTAGTAGGGATGTGTATAGACTTTATTGGATTGACGTAGCTCTTTTAGTTCGTGCAGGTAAGTTGGGCAGGAAGGTGAGGAGGCTCTGTGATTACAGTCCAGATTTAAATTGGAGTCTGTTGGATGAGTGACAGTTTATACAGTATTCTTCTTTTTCTGTGCAATGTTCAATACTATGACCTTGGTATCCACACTTCTCACAATAACAGTGTGACTCAGTACATGTGTTTTGGTGATGGCCTATTGTCTGGCATTTTCTGCACCTTAATAAGACCAGTCTTTTTTTAATTGTGCAACGTTGTAGACCAGCGTAGAAATAATTAAGATTCAAAAGCTTGATGGAGAGTTTGCTGTTGACTCTTATAATGATGTGTTTCTTAGAATTATCTCTTTTATGTGGGATTTCTTTGGTCAGTTTGATGATATCGTAGGCAGGGTCGAAATCGCCATTGATTTTTATCAAGTCAATAATCTCAGTTTCTGTGAATGTGATAGGTGTGTTAAGAAGAATTAAAGAGAACAACTTTACGTCTTTGTCGTGATATTGGATGCCTGTCTTTTGTAAGGTTGAGAGGACCGTTCATTTATGTTGATTGTTATGAAACTTTAGTTCTAGCATCTTGCTGTTTCTATAGACTTTTTTCACGGGCAGTTTAGGTTCTTCCTGAATCAGCCTCTTCAACAGCATTCAGGCAGATCCCAAATACCCATAGTTAAAGTATTTCACGGCATTCAATCTAACCAGTAAACAAAATAATTTGTTTACAAAAAACCACGTATAACACGTAGGGTTGCCGTAAGTAGGGTCGCCAAATTTGGCGATTTATGCGAATTTTGGCCTGGTTGCGTTAATACGTAAGTACCCGATGATGCTTTATTTCTGGCTTTTTCAATTTTTCGTTTTATCCGTAAAACGCATGTAGCACTGACGATGATAGCCACTATTTTAGGTGGATAAATCTTTTGAAATTATACTGTCAACTATTTCCCCTTCTTTCCCACCTATTGTAATCCATTCTTGAGCAGATTCTACTTTTATATACTTTACAGATATACTTTTTCCGAAAAGTTTACTAGTTTTTCATCATTTTTTGTATTAACTAGATGAATGCAACAATCGCTGGAAGCCATCTCGCTACGTTTGTTTACAAACAAATGATGCCAGATACGTATAACTAACTTTCAAAAAGTTTCAATAAGCAAAATTTTTAATTTGAATGTTTAATTTATTTCAAAGTATACAATTTTGAGACATAATTATTAAATAATATGCTTGAAATTGTTTTATTTCTTAAAATAAAAATAAATTTTGATGGCGCCATCTATGAGCATTATCTACTACTGCACGCTAAAGCCTGCAATGGGATCTATTTTTAATTAAGTTTTTACTAATTAATGTGCAAGTTCCCCTTGGGGAACATTTGAAATTTTTGCTATACATGTCAATTCATATACAAAAATTTGCGTAGTTACGTAATATAGCAAACGAACTAAAACAATATTGCATGATGCCCTATGGACTATATATATATATATATATAACAAAAACATGGTGGTGTAGATTCTCATGATTGGCTTTTAGAGAAAAATCCGTGGAAAAATGGTATTAGCCACTTTTTACCCGAATTGTAGACATGGCTGTTGTAAATATCAGCGTTATTTACAACGTGGTTCATGCAGAGAAAAAGAGTATCAAAGAAATAAGGAGACATATTGCAATAGCCTGTCTAAAAAAATGCAACACAGGACAAAAACAAAACGGTAGACCAAGTTATGCAATTTCATCTCGAGTGAAGGTAAGAGACACTGTCAGGCGAGATGGAGTTGGCCATATACTTCGTAAAAGAGAAAAACAAAGACGATGTCAAATGCAAAATTGTTCGGGAAAAACCTCTTACATTTTGCATGAAGTGTAATGTAACTATGTACAAAATGTTTTCCAAATTACCAAAAATAGTGTGAATATGTTTAAACTTAATAAAANGCGTTGATACAAGCAGATCGTGGTTCCTGCGGAAGGAATATTTTCTTATGATAGCTGTAGTTGACGTTTTTCTCTATTATTTGCAGAAGGCGCTCGATATCCGTTTTAGTCTGTGACATGATGGAGGTATTTTTGTTGGTAGAAGTTGGAGTATCACTGATGATGCAGTCGTTGGTTACCGGAGAAGTATGTTCATAGACAGAAGTGAGATCAACGATTACTGAAGGTGATGTATTAGTATCAGGACATTGTATGGTTTTATTATCTTTTCGATGAGAATTTTTTGATCTGGGAGGAGTTTCTGTGAGTGAGATATTATAGTCAATTCTTTGAAAGGTTTGTGTAACTCTGCGTTGGGATCTTGTCGATTTTGCAGGATTTTGAAAATTGTCTGTAACTTGTGAATTAGCCATGAAAGAAGGTAGTCAATATGTAAGCAGAGATTTTTGTCAGTCAATGTGTAAAGTCAATACGTCAGAAGAAATTGACATTTCGAGAAACCAAAGTATTAGTTACCAAGTTTTTATTTTAAGGGGTTACAGTACCTTTGCAACAATTTTTTTTAAATAAAGGTATAATCAATCATTTTGAGGATGCTTTACATGCTTATTTAACTTATAATCAATAATTTTTCTTCAAAAAACAATTAGACTGTTTAAATTTTTTTTAAATTTAAAAAAAAAGTTGAAAAAATTTAAAATTTTTAAATCCCCAAGGCTTTTTTATTCTAACTTATTTTCAAAAATTTTTTTTTCTTATTGCTTACAATATTCTTCTTAACAATTTTGTGCATTCATTTATTGATATATCAATTAGAGTATTTTTTTATAAAATATTTTATAAAAAAGTAGAAAAAAAGGGTAAAAATTCCTGTTAGGTATATATAACATGCTGTAAAAATTGTAATAGCTTATAAAATGCTTATTCCATGCACAGTTTAAATAAGTGTATTATACTAAAGATAAAAAAAGTTTACTTCAAAGCTTTATCTTAAATAGAAAAAATTCCTTAGGTATTTAATCAAGATCAAAACACAAAATTATCATTTATGAGAAAAAGCCCTTTAAAGTTTGTCTGCTGTGCAAGATTCTGTCTTAGGACAATCTAAAATCATTCATAACTTTTTCAAAAATGTAGATAGAGGCATGATTTTTTTCAGTGCATTTGAAATAGTTTGAAGTTTTATTATAAGCAATAAAAAAAAAAATTGGTATTTTTGTCATTTTTTGGGTACTGTGACCCCCTTAAATGGCGAGGGTGAGTCCCAACCAGTTACCCAGAAAAAATCAATCCAAGAAAGTTGTAAAAATTTTTATTTAAAAATTGATTTGATGTGATGCTCCATTGATGCTAGTGTGCGCCGATGCCAGTGATTCAAAGATTAGTGAAACAGTCGAAAATTATGATAACACTACATTAGGTGTATAGAAACAAGTTATGAGGAAATCGTGGGGTATACACGCTTAATGGCAGCGCTAGGCTGAATGAAAACATGAGCGAAAACATTAAAGTATTGCTTATGTGAATTAAGATATATTCTCTAGGCTAAAAAACCTATCAGTCAAGTTTAAGAATGCTACCATCGTGACATTAAATTGTAAATTTATAATTGACCAAGAGAATTACAGCAATGAAACTGTAAACGCAATAAATAAAGAAAACGTTTTTGCGGCGCTAGGCAGAGACAAAATTATTAAGATCATTACTTTAATCAATGTTAATTAATATGATAATTGCAAAAACTAAAGCATTATTAGAAATACACTGAACAAAATACTAAAATATTTGAAGGCGAAGCTAGACAGTGCTAGACAATCCTAGTTGTTTGATACATACTATGGTAACTAGTATTGAGCCACTGGCAACAGCACACAAAACATGAGAATTAATGAAAAGCAAAATATGTATCAGTTAAAAATAACATAAAAGACAGAGCAATAACTATATTGAAGATAGATAAGAAGAAGAAAAGATAAAGAGGAATTGCAATGGGCCATGGAGTGTTACAGCAATGTAAATAATACTTTAAGGTGATAGGCCATCGCTGTGCTAATGAAACAAAATCAAACTTAATGATATAAATAAAAGTGATGAGAGTAGATATGGCAATTTATTAATTAGTACCAGTCTTGAATAGTTGGCCTGAAGCTGAGCATCATTGAGTTGAGTCTATATTTCAATCATTTGATTGGAAAAAAGAAAACTAATTGACCATAAGTTATGTAAAGAAATACATGAAAGACTTAGGTCGTAATAAAATGTACATTACAATACTAAATAAAAAGAAATTTAAAAAAAAAAAAAATGTGATTAAACTACTATTAGAAAATATGAATAGCCCTAACATATGTAAAATGATAAAAAAATGCATTGGAATAACGTATGTACAATAATAAAGAAAGAAAGGGAAAAAAATTTTAAAGAATTGTAAACTCTGACTTTAATATTAACTGAATACAACATGGAATTGGAAAAGCTATTGAGGAGCATAAGGTCTATTTTACAGAAAATTAATAAAAAAACTTGGATGGCGCGTGATTAGACGCATTTAACTGTATCTGAAATCATAAAGTTTGTTTTCAAATTGCTATGGAGAATAGAACACAGTTAACATTGAAAAGTGAAGTCTCTATAAAAAATCAAGGGATGGGAGAAAAATTAAAAAACAGGGTTTCGGGCAATAAAGGACATTTAGGGGAACAACAAATATAAAAAATAGATTGAAGCGAGAACAATAAGACATTAATTACAATGACCAAAGTCAGAGTTTACAAATGGTAAAATTTAACACGGCGATAGCCTATTCA